GATGGAGGCGTTATCAACTCGGAATCCATCTTCTGTCTTAATGCCTCTTTTTTTTTGCCCCCATTCAATGAGGTATTTTGTTCTGCAAAGCATTGGTCGTGAAGCCATCGAGGCTCAGAAAGGTTTGGGGACTCGGATATTGGCTCTTTGTGGTCTAAATCGGGAGACCCCGGAGCCAGAAAGCGGGAGGGGAACGGTGAGGATGATGTTGAGGGCACTCCGACCGACTGAAAAGTGGAGAATGATCCATCGAAAAGACTCTTGGGCGAGTGAACGGGAGTATTGCAGACAGCCTAACAAAGTATAGAATAAAATATATTGAAGAGGAATTATAAAAGAAATGAATACATGAAATTTGTGTGCTTATATTTATAGCTAGTAGCAGTCAATCCTGTATAAGAGCTCTATTCATCCAAGGTTGCATAATACGATGAAGGACAGATAGTTGAATTTTACCGCGATCATACAAGCAGGCCTCATGCTGTCTTTGAAGCTCACCTAGCTTTGCTTCCCAAAAGGTATTTCCATCCTTGTTTGTAGAGCAAAGCTATGTGAAATCCTAGGAAAATCTAAGGCCAATTCATATAATTTTGGAAAAAGTTCACTTTATGCAGCCTAAGGTAATTACAGCATTTATTCAATATCTGATAGTTTAGAAACCTACTGAATAAGAAACTATTATTTTTCAATTGCTATCTGCTGCGTTACTTATATCCATAGTTAGTAGATTCGAGACTAGCAGTTTTTATTCAGGAGCTAATTGCTATGAATATAAGTAGCGTAGTCAATAGCAGTGGTACAGTACAAGTTTGCTTCACCACCAGTCCTTCACCTTATGCAGTCAAGGGTGACTCCAACTTTCTCTTAATGATGAAGCTAAGCATAAAACAAAAAATATAGTAAATATCGAGATTCATCCAGAAAGTAGGCTATGAAAACCTGAAGCTTTAAATAAATGCAAGCATAATAGCAATTGCTACAACAACTACCACATAAATGATAAGGACAAGTTTGATAGATGGAAGTTCATTTGGGGAACCGCAATCTACGCATGACAATAAATTTCTGCTTTTTAGTGCCATTTGTGTTGTACTGCGTAGTGTGCGCAAATCAAGTCATGAAATTGAGTGACGGGTTTGAAGTGAACGGAGTGAAAATTCTGCCTATGAATAAGCTATAGCTCTTGCATTACAGATTTTTTAAGAGATTGTTTCCGCAAATATGAGAATTGCTGATAAATTGTTACACCAGAGAGGCGAACCAAGTTATCGTTAAGGATTCAAACTGCTATTTAAGCATTTACAAAAGATGCATATAAACCTTAACCTACTGCCAACTCATCGCCATCACCCAATCAAGTAACCGTCCTTTAAAGGCGACTCTTAATGCAAAATAGCTCGAAAGAGAATTGGATAATTATGAATGATGCTATAAGATACATTTAGCTTAGGTCTTCTTCCTTTAAAGACAAATGTCAAAATCATATAAAATGAGTGTTTTTCAATGAAAATTCAAATACTTTGTAAGTTCAATGAAGAATGCAACTAGACCACCACAGCAACCTAATCAAACACTTGTTAACATCATAACAGCACTGAAGGCAATTAGCAGACGCCAAAAGCAAAATTAATAAAAAGAATATCAAAACATCAAACAAGAGTTTGCCAATGAGTATATGTACATAGGCGAAAAGATTTATATATATAGTTTCAGAAATATATTAACAATTATAGACGGAGCATGAAAGTATATTACAATTAAGGGCATAGTAACACTTTAGACTTACTATGTATTCTATTATTTACTGAAAAAGCAGCTTTTCCACATACAAATTTCGAAGTTAATTAATGAAAATGGGTGT